TTGACAGCAGATCCAGTTAACAAGTAAATTCCATTTAAAAACATTGTTTCAAAATTATTTCTTACAAGAATATTGTCTACACACTCGCGATGCACAGCTTCCACAATAGAAAAGATTATAAAATTATAAAAAAAACAAATATAAAAGCGATTATGCACTAGAGACAGTATAATTTTTCATGACAAGTTTCAAACAATGCGTTTTTCACGTAAAATCAAAAATGCGTCCAAACATTTTAATTTTAATTAATATCTACATAATGTGTAGAAAAATAATATTTTTATTTACGGAAGAAGTTTTATTATCTTAAATTATGGGTTTTGTCCTAATGGCTGTTATTCACTCTTACGATACGATATTGCTTGTCCAAATGAGTCTTAAACTGTCTCATTTTAAATAAGCTTTAAGGTCTGCAAGGGGCGCCATAAATTCTAATTCCGAATGAGAGAGGAGCGAGAGAGAAAAAGCAGATAGCGACAATTGCGGTTAATTAATCGCGCACTCGCGAATTCGCAAATTCGCCTGGAATTCCACGACATAATCCAGGATTCGCGATATAAGAACACTCTTCTATTTATGTAAAGATATCTATGGGATTACCATTGAAATGACGTCGCGATCTGCGCGAAGCAACGTCAACTCGGCGTCCTTGCGAGGAGAAAATCGCGAGGTCTTTACTGGATTTGCGCCGTAAATAACTACTTTTCAAAAGCAGCATGGACGATTATATGTACTATTTTTAAGAATATAAAAATTTCAAAATTACTTCTCGTATAAGATGAAAGAGATTAAAAATTAAAAATTAAAAAATCTTAAAAAATGTACATAAGACAGTGATTGAATTATTTTTATTGAATGACTGTAACATAATTGAAGAGTTAATACTCTTTTGGATCGATATTATGCACGGTGGCACCGTGTGCTCGAAGATAGTGCCAGCCGACTTCTATATAAGGCCCTACCATCGAGGCGCCCGGTATTTGTCATTTCCGACAGGAAAGGCCGTGCGCCGTCGCTCTTGGCTTCTTTCGGGATATCGTGATTAATATGGAGTGCCTGTCGACCTTTAAACCGCATGACAAGTACCATTCTCCAATTTGTTTTAAAAAAAACGCTTTTCATGAACCTGCCTTAATGTCAAAAGCTTCCTTTTACGTGTCAAAGAATACAGTTTAACAGATTTATTTTTGGATGATTGAGCGAAAGATATCTTTAAATTGATTGCAAAATTTAATTATTATTACTATAAATTAATCACTACTCACAAAAATCAATGGCCGGAATGTAAATAATTGATGATAAATGCACATCATTTTTATGAGGATTGATTCTAAAATTTAATATTTCTCGGAAGATAAATCTGTAATCTATCGCCTATTAAAATTTTAATTCTAAATATAAATCCGCTATAAAATTATGTTACTATATTTTTCTTCAAACTATTACCGTTTGAAAATTATAAATAATTCATCATTATGAATACGCAAAGATCATATTTCTATGCTTTCGATTATATACAAAGATATATAAAACGTTATGTAACATTATCTCTAATCAGCAAGAAATCAATTAAATGCAATGAACAGTTTTCAAGGAAACGAGTTTTTATTTAACGTCTATAAATTAATATTCGCGAAAATAATACTAGATTGTAAAAATTATTATTAAAAGATTATTCAAAGGAAATGTATACAAAACTACCAAATATGGTTGAATATTTCTCCCATCGCTGCATTTCGTTTACGTTAGGCTGCGATGCATATTGCATGCAGATGTCTGCGCGCCTCCCTCACCGGACATAAACGGAGCAAAAAAAAATCACAGTCTGTAAAAACCGCCGCAAACGATAGAAAAGAGAAAGAAATGCAGAAAAGAGCTCCCAGAAGTGCCGGTATCGAGAGCACTGGGGTTCCTTATCGTTTCTTGTCGCGTATCTTATTATGCTCCCCGCTTGGCCACTCGTCACGGCTCGTAAAGTCGATATATGCAAAAGCACTGCTACCTCGCCCTCCCCCTGTTTCTACTTACTGATACAACCCAATCTACCCCCTGCCACACAGGTAAGAAATTCCAACACCTCACTTCGAGATTTGCCGTAATCCTTAAACCGGATTCAGACTAAAGTACGTTGCGCTTCGCTCTACAATCCGAACGTATCTAATGCTGAATATCGAGGCTCACATATGTACATCGTCCTCTCCTCAATCTCATTTAATTGCGATGTTTCAATTAAACTTAAAGTACATCGTATTCGATACAACCTGCATTTTCTATTTAATTTTCTCTGCCTCTTTTTATTATTCTTTGCAATTTTTTATTTTTCTCATATTTGTATATGTATAATTCAAATTAAGGAGAACTCTTCATTGCAGCTATGTTGAATTATAAAATTATTAAGCAAGATATATAGTGATTTTTTTTTTCTTGTGGAATATATCAAAATAAATTATTTCTTTTTTGTATACCATTATTTTCGCGTTCGCTATTATGGATTGATAAAATATGCAAAAATTTTCTTTTTATTATCCAGCATTAATAAATACATGTGTAACTCACAATATGCATGTGTCCTACATTTCCAGCGAAAATAAACCTTGTAATACAAGATTTAAGGCTGTTAATTAATCCACGAAAAAAAAAAAATATTTTAAACATATTTTATCAATTCTATCGAATGCAAATATATAGATGATGTATATATAGACATGATTTTTCGCTTTTAATGTCATAATTAAATATAATTGCTGAATGGGGAGAGAGAATTAGGACGTTAATACGTTTATAAGAATTCGTGCAACGACACAATCGTCTTACCGTGGTCTAAATCCGGCTTTAAGGTGCATACCCGATGCGCCGCGAGCAGCCGGTGACTTTCTCCGGGTTGGCACATAGGGAACGCACGCACCGCACCGCGAACGAGCCGCCGCGATTTTATCGTCCTCTCCTGCCTACTCTAAATATTTCTCTGGCATGAATTTATAACGACGACGCGGGCCGGCGCGTTGCTAATAACGAGCGCGATCCAGCCGATACTCCGGCATTTATACGAGCGTCGCGATCGGATACTCGTCGCGAATCCGGTGGTCATTATGAGCGCGCGCGACGGGGCCCGTGGCGATGAATGGGGCTCGTTTCGGTGCCCGGACTCGAGCAACTTGCATTGGATCGTCGTCGTAGATCAGTGAAAGTCGGCTTGATCCGGACCGTTCCACGATCGGCGCCTGGATCACGATCGATCGCGCAGTATCGTTCCGGGAAATATTACGTCCGGCGTCACGTTGTAAAATACAATCGATAAAAATTTAAGAGTCCACGATATCTGATATATTAGAGAAGATCATATTATTGAGTAACATATATTTTAATTAACGAATCAGTAATAATATTGCCCCCGATTTGGCGATTCTTGTTGATTTTTCGTTTCTCCGATAATAAAAACTTGACGATATTTATAACCACGCCATATACACCGCGACACTTATCTCACCTCGTATAGTTGCCTACAAAATGCACGAACTTTACGCTCGTTATTTACACGCGACTGTGACCTGACATGAGAGCGTCACGATTGCCGACCGCGTTAATCGAGTAATTAAAGCATTATTCATTGTGTCCCGCATTTTTTTTAACGCCCTAATTTGCCGTGCCCTTAATGACTTGTTAAAATTGCTTTAATAATGCCCGAGCTAATAAGCTGACCGTGTATGTACAGTATGTACATCGTCGACAGTCGATTGGTCACGCTACGAATGACTACTCTCTCTATCCACCGCTGCAGTCGAGTAGTATGATTGAGTGGAAAATACAGATTGTATACACATTCTTTTTTTTTTATTTTAACCATCGTGTCCATAAAAGCCAGTGATTTTAATATACAAGTTTTATTTGTTGTCACTTGTCGACAAAAAAATATGCATGCTGCCGCAAATATATAATTTCAATTTCGTTTAAGCAGACATCTATATTAGTCATTATACATTTCGCAGAAGCACAATGTTAAATAAATTATCGAAAGAAGAAAAATATATGTATATACTTTGCAAATCAGATGTGTATGAAATTCACTATCGAATTGTCATTAAAAAATATTAAATTTAATTCTTTTAATTATTTAATAATTAATTAAAAATTGATATTAAGTTTCTAATAAAATCGCAGAATAAATGCCAGAAAAAATGTTATTGATCTATGGAAAATGTGTTCAAATTTTCGAAGACGCATTAACAGAATAATGGTGATAACGGCATATTTTAATAGAAATATAGATTAAAAGAGCTCTTTAACGCATTACTCTTCGCTCTTCCCACTCTGCATTAAGCTCAATCGTAATTCACGTCACGCAGGACGAAGAGCTTCCGCTGGACGTCACACACATCCTTCTTCCTCCTCGTCACGATGCACACGTGCTTTTTTGATGCGTTTTTAACGCGTGGCGCGTGCGTTCGTGAATGGGGAAAAAATTTCGACAGGAAATCGAATTTTAAATTTGTCTAGCATCATCGGAACTATTTCCACATTTTTAACTTGCGCTCAAATTTCGTGTTTATATTATTAACGTTAGTATAATGTCTGTGTGTTTTATTTAAAGTTTAATATAATATTTTAATGTACATAAAATATTTGAACACAGGAAAAGACTTGCGAGTTACATATCGTTTCGAGTAACGATTTGACATAAAATGTACGATGAAAAAAATTACTTACGCGTATTCTAAAAGAGTTTTATTACTTTTGTGTATGTAATCATACTTTCACGATACTGTGTATAGGTGGATGTTTACGAAGCGGCGAGAAAATAAACGCGGAAAGAGCCAGAGAACGTGACAATCGTGTTCTAAGATTGAGGCCAATGGGTATCTCGATCGCGGGGGAATTTTTCGACGATGATAGCCGCGTGATAAGGATCGCCTGCCTCGTTATGACTGTACGAGCACTTAACCGCACGGATAATCGTGCTTCCGCGATAGTTATAGCTTAAGCAAATCATTCGTGACACTTACTTTACATAGAGCAACACCGGTGTCCAGTCGGTCCATAAAATTGTCGAGATTGATCCTCAGTTCCGGATACAGGGCGTTCAGCCATTCAGCCAGGTCCTCCTTCATCGCTATCAGATATTCCTCCGAGGACTTGAACGGCCTGTACGATCTACCTTCCAGTAGCACCGACATGATTTCAACAATTTGAAAACTAAAAGCGGAAAGATATTACATTGTATTAAAAATTTGATATAAATTATATATTAAATTTAAATATTAAATTTAAAACTAGTCCTTTTTCTTTTTCTCGACTCTACTTTGATTTCACTTTTGTATTTAAATATTTATTTAAATAAATAAAAACAAACATCTTTATAAACTGTATTATCAATTTTATTTTGTCTACTTTTTTAAATTTAAATATCACCTAACAAATCAATTTATTTTTCATTATATTATCACAAGTTAAAATTTTTCATAATTTTGCACTTTCGATTTACCGGGAATTCCGCATCTTATACAATATTTTTCCACTTCTGCTTGCCTAGAGCATTCAGAGAGAACTAACGTAACTGAAGAAACTTCTTAGTCTTACCGTGACAAGGGAGAAAACTTCCCCCACCCTTTGAAAGTCCCGAAAGGACTAGGGTTATTCATAGTTTAAAAGAAGCCCCACTGAGTACAATAGAATTCTAATTTTTTTAAAATCTTAGAAATTTTATTTACTCACTTTCCTTTACTGCGTTTTTAACCAATTACATAAAAATGTTTTTCTTTTATTTTTCTCTATATTTTCTTTCAATTTTGCTTTTTCTTGCTCCTCCGTCCAAAGCTTGATTATGTATTTATTTCATATGGAATGCAGAGAATGTAATACAGTACATTTAAAGAAGAAAAATTATCTTATGTCCTAGTTTGCGATAGATACGCATTCAATTAAATTCTTATGATTCTTCGTAAACTTTGAAATATCGCGAAAAAGTCATGATCAACGTTATTTATCGTCTCGATGAAAGCTACATTTGTTATGTCCGGGAACTGCAACGTGCCGCTAACGGAATCCCGATTCGTTTTCTCACGCGATATTTCCACGTCCAGATACCGTTGCGTATGCAAATCCGTGGGCATTATTTCGCGATGCAAGAGGCAGATTATAAATATCCAATGAATAAAAAAACGCGAAGCCAGACAATGGCCACTCCGAGTGTCGTTGTTGACAATGGCGCGGTCAATCCCGCGATATTTTCCCCATGGCACGTCATTCAGCCACCCTATATGTGTATGTATACATATCAATATGTGTTTATTTCGGATGCATTTTGCCACGATACCTTTCGTATATGATAGAATCTCGATTATACATATATGACTCGGCTTAATCAAATATAAATAAATCTTGTCTTAAACATAATTGTCGGATGACGTGATTTCTTTGATTTATTTTTTGCCTCTTTTTCTCTAATAAATAACAAATTTGTCATTACTTGCATTTTTCGACGTAAACATTTGTTATTGTTACATTTTATGTGTGTTATATTCTAGAAAAGTGTGTGTGTGTTTTATCTCTCTCTATCTCTTTCTCTCTCTCTGCAGATGTACCACCATTATCAACAATTTCATTCAAGGACGAACAAACTGTCCATTTATTATTTATTTATGTTTTTACATTCTTCTACTTTCTTTCAATTTTTATTTTCCTGCTTTCTCTTTTACAATAGATTTATTTCATTTTAAACATATGAACGCTTTACCTTGTTGTCCATTGAGTCATTTAATTCTTATTTCGTTTCGGGCGGTGACGCACATAAATCTTCATCAGCTGCATTGTGTACAACTCATCAACTAATGTATAGGTTAATAGTATCGAAAGTTCGCCAAGTCGCAATGTCGCAAGTGAAATCATTGTAAGACATTGCTCTGATATATTTTGAATAGCATCGCATCACAGAATGACATTTAAGCGTGCTCGGTTTTCATTGAATGAAAATTTCAGTGCGACGCAATAAAACAAACTTTAATATTTGATAAATAAACCTACACCACGCATTCGAATAAACCCATATAACTCGGATAATTACACGTCTACATTGCCGGATTTAAAAAAAAAATTGGGACAATTAAAAATAATTGTTGTGAGAATAGAAGCTATTCCGTAAAAATCTTCAACAAGTAATATTTTATTATTTGAAAATAGATAGGACAAATGTACAAACACATTTTTCTTCTTCCAACAATTCTGAGATCGTTGACCGCTGTGCAAAAAAAATTTAATACTCTCTCCCACTCTCTAAATATTCTCATTTTTCAACTGCCTGTATATGTTGACCAGAGAAAATAATCGTGGGAAATGATCCACACACGCGCCGCCGGGATAATATCTAACAGCAATAAAACGCCCCATTCATAGGACCCCATGAAGCTTCATTTCGATGTGGTCTGAGCCCCTCTAATTCGACGAACCTTCGTCAAGAGTTGACCGAAACTGGTTTGAAAATAATGGTTTAGTAATACGTGCAAACACATGATGAAATTTAACTTAGCAAAGAATTTTAATTCGAGATTTAGTTCAAATTTAGAAAGTGAAATATGACGGCTAATCAACTTTTCGTCAAAGAGATTATCAGGACCTACTGCTCGGAGAAACTATAAAATATTTGAAAGAAGATTTGACGACTTTGGACCTTCGGACCCCATAATTTATTAACTACATAGTATCATATGCAAAGAACGATAGAGAAGGGAGAAGAGAATAAAAAGATATCGATAGAGATCCAGACGAAAAAGGAACCGACGAATAAAAAGCTAGTCAATCGTGAATTCGTGCGATAAAAGATTCGTGCGCCGACAGCGACGATCACGGATTATGATTTACAAAAGGCTGCGAAATGTCATCGTATCACGTTTCCCACGACGCGATGCGCGCGCGTCTCGCCCCATATCGTTGGCGCCTATTTGCCGCATATCAAATGTATACACAGTTGAAAATGCTAAAGTTTAAATCGATAACGAATAAGTAGAACGATTCACGGAACCGACTCATTTGGAGCAAATAGCTTGAGTATAGCACTCTATCGATTCTTCTTCTTCTTCTTCGAGAGAAAGATGAACGCGTGTAATAGTTCACGATATAATTATCTTGTATCTGGAATGCTATGTCCCGGATATGGGCTATTGATAAAATGTATTGTAAGTATTATATATGCAGATTATATGATTTAGTCATACTTAGTTTGATAATTATAATTAAACGCAAATGATTCTCTGTATGACTTCAGGCGTTAAGATATAATTATCGTAAAATTATGTTATTTAAAAAAACAAGAAATTAAAATATTCAGCGATATACACGGTGAATGAAAAACGAGGGTGTGTCTGTCAGCGGCTGGTGGCTAATTTACGGGTTAACTTACAACCTTTATCGCCACCCGCAAAGCCGAAGGTCGCTAAATCACAGCGGGGTTACGAGCGTGCAAAACATCGTTACATTCCGCCGGAGTTCGCCGTGGGTTTTATAATGTCAGCGCAACGCGAAGGAATCTATTAGAGATTCGCGCAGAGATGCACCGTGAAATTTAATCCTTAAACACGCACGATTCACGCGCTATCCTTTTCGTAATCGCAAGCGAAAGACGCGTTCGAAAATTGATAGCGTCCTCCTTTATTTCACGCAGAGTGGATTTAACGGGATTTTATGTATTTCTTCTTTCGCGCGATTCTGTGATAAATAATCGATAATTTTACGTGTCGAATAGCGAAAAACGCGTTTCCACTTTGACGCCGAAGTAACACAGATGCCGATTATCGACGATGATGTTATCAACGTCATAGTATTTCATAATTTATGGCGTAGCTAGCTTTATGATTATATCATACTGCCAGCTATATATAATTGCTTTTTAGATATGAAATTCAGTTATGACGAATATTAATAAAATTCTTTAAAATCTGTATATAAAATCTTGTTACGACTCATTTTGAAATTGAATTTTATCGAAATTTATGAAAAATATATATAAAGAGACTATAGAATATTAATAGAGAGATTATATAATATTTCGGTTTCGGATTATGTTATGAAAAATATTAAGGGATAGAAGTTTATATATAATAAAAGTAAATATTTTCCAGATTAATATCACAAAATATTTGACTTTAAGTTTCTGCAAAAGTATAATCGCGTTCCCGACACTGCGCAGTTTTTCGTGACACTTGCGCATGAATGCCATGATGCACCGTTATGTCACGTGTAGCGCGCCTTTGAAGTACGCTCACGTAGGTAAATTTACGAATGCGCTTTTTTCATAGGGAACAAAGCGTGCGCGCGATATCTATAGGGCAACCAACTCTTAATATTCCGTCCCTTTCGTGTCGCTCGATAGAATAATAAAGAGCCGACGGGCTCGTGGAACCCTTTCTCGGGATATCAGCGCGAATAATAAAGTTGCGCGTTCGAAGGAAAATATAAACGCGGATATCGTGCGGGGTTTTTCAAGAAACTCATTGTCAGTCGCAATAAGTCACACGAGAGAAGTAAACTAAATCTTTCGAAACATCTTCCCGCGCTGATATCGTAACAACGGGGTAACAGATACGGTAGGACGGATGAACGGGATTAAAGATAAGCGTTGAACCGGATTAAATGAAAAAATAATAGTTAGTCTTTACGAGAGTCTCGGCGACATATTTTATTATCTTTATGAATCGTCCTAACTTACAGACACGCACACACGCGTGCATAATTTTCTGATCCCCACGACTTACTTAACCAACTCTTCTGATCGCCAGGAAGCAGTTACTCTTACGTCTTATTACTATAATTTCTCTGGGGCGCGCGCGAGTTTACTTTAATCCGATTCATCCTCCCCTCAGTCTCATTCATCGCCGGTTATGATAAATGTTATGCGCGTCGTCATCATGAAGTTATGCAAACAAGGGTAATATGTAATATAATATTCACGTATATAAACGATAATGTTTTAAAAATCTACATGTTTTTATTGCACAAAACATTTCTTCATATATTTATATCAAGATTCTATTTTAAATAAAACTCTTTACGAATAATTATGAACACAATTTCCAATGTTCCTCTCTTTTTACATTACTTTATGTCCTCGTAATCTTACCACATTTTTTATAATTTTGTGATTTATAAATACACCGGTATACATATGAGAGGCAATACGTGAGTGTTGCTCGGCTGCCGCTGGC